CAGAGGCACTGGGAAATGAAGGACAGAAAGAGAAAGGAAAGGGAGTCAGTACTAGAGCTTGGAGCCTTGGTCCTCACCACGAGGCGATATGTCTCCGTTCGAGGTGCCATTCATACGGCCGATGGAGGAGAGGAGAATACCAACTTCGCGTTCGAGCGAGTTAACCTCGGAATGCGGGTTATACATCTTGGATTTGATCCAAGAGTCCAGATCAGAGTCGGTGAAGGTTCGGATCGCCGTTTCGCGGTCCACTTTGGCCTCCTGGGCGGCACGAATGACTCCTCTGGCAACGGCAACGCTGACTTCACGGATTCTTGTGATTTCAGGGTATAACAGGCCTCGGTCAAGCTCCTCGGTTGTCAGGGATGTTGAAAGGGCGTCTGCCGCGGCGTAGATCATGCTATCGGTGACTTCGACGGCCTTGGAGAGGATGGTTCCGAGTCCGATACCGGGGAAGACATACATGTTGTTGCCTTGGCCAGGGTAGTAGGTCGATGTCTCACCAGCGCTATTCTTGAAGGAGAATGAAGGGAATGGAGAGCCTGAAGCAAACAGGGCACGGCCGTCGGTGTGAGTGATGGCAGACTTGAAGTCACATTCTGAGTTAGCGGAGGGGTTCGAGAGAGGGAAGATGATGGGCTGCTTGTTATTATCGGCCATCTTCTTGAGGATCTCGGGGGTGAAGACGCCTCCAAGGGTGGAGAGACCCATCAGCATGGTGGGCTTGACATGGTCTACAACTTCTTCCAAGGTCTTGAACTGCTGGCCGTTGTTATCATGGCGGGCAAAGTAGACTTTGTGAGCTGCGAGTCTGTCGCCTCGGTCCGCAGTGACAAGACCCTTAGTGTCAACAAGGTAGAAGCAAGCTTTGGCCTCATCCTCTGTCATTCCCTCCTTGACAAAGAAATCGACGATCTGCTTAGCAACACCTACTCCTGCGCTTCCGGCGCCGAGGAACACAGCACGGTGGTCCTTTGGTGGAACGCCAGATCGCTTGACGGCATTTATCACACCGCCCAAAATGACGGCTCCAGTTCCCTGGATATCATCGTTGAAACAAGTGTAGTTGTGTCGGTATTTTTCGAGGGCCGGGAAAGGATTCTTGAAGTCTTCAAATTGTATAACAATACTATCGCATTGTCAGCCAGGTAACGATATTTCAGCCCGATCATAATAATTGCTTACCCTGGCCATCTTTCGGTCAATGCAGCCATAAGCTCATCCATGAACTCAAGCTCCTGCTCCTGAGTAACCTTGCCACGGCGGCTACCCATGTACAGGGGATCTTCTCTTAGAGCCTTATTGCTGGTTCCCAAGTCAAGGGTGAGGGGGAGAGTAGCTTCAGGCCTGATGCCAGCACAGGCAGTATAGAGGGCAAGCTTGCCAATTGGGATGCCCATTCCGTTGATTCCGAGATCGCCCAATCCCAATATTCTCGAGCCATCAGTGATGACGGTAATGTCAACATTTGGCTGGGGCCAGTTCTGGATAACTGCAGCAATGTTTCCGCGGTCTTCATAGCTAAGGTACATTCCTACACCGAAAGTTAATACGGCACAGCTCGTAGAAGGCGTAGGATCACACCACAAAGCTCACCTTCGGGCTGCTGATATATCTCGGACCATTTCTGGCAAGCCTCACCAACAACGGGTGTGTAGATCAGGGGAGTAAGCTCCTACACAACTGTCAGTCTTCCGTCCACCAATCACTTGTCTAACGGCCCGGGATCACGCATATACCTGTAGATGGTCCATGACCAGGCGGTAGAACAGATGCACACTGTTCTTGCGGATTGTGCTGAGGTAGAGGAACTTCTCGATGGGGGTAGACTTGAGAGCTAGCTGGGCAAGACCTGTAGCGGCAGTCAGCTTCTGCACCGTTCTGTGAAGCTTCATGCGCACTTACATCTTGTCTTCTGCACCTCGTAGCTCTCTGCACGCGGCGGCGTGAGTCCGTATGTCCGCAGATACTTGCGGATGTAGCCTGGGTTCGCAGTGTCGAAGTAGCCGTCACTATAAGAAGAAGAAGCCCATCCAAGAGAAGGCAGAGGGCGGCCTGTCAGCAAACCGAAAACGGCAAGGCGGTGAGGCTATACTGCTGGCCCAAAAGGGAAAATCTCGACGTCGACGGAACAACATCGTCAACACAAGCACTTACACTGGAGAGCCAGTCGAGCCGGCGGGCGACTGGGCAGGAGACGAGGAGTGCATGGCGTTATACTGGGGGCAGTACAGGCTGGGACCGATCATGCTGGGTCTGGAGCGCAATGGCAGTGAGGCAAGGGGGGCAGCAGAATGAGAGGTGAGTGTGCGAGTGCGAGCAGCAGCAGCAGCAAAAGAAGAAGAAGAAGAAGCAACAGAAGCAAGCCTGTGATGCGTCGGGAGAGGTGGACGAGAAAGCATCTCCCTCCCGAGGAACGAGGAAGAGGCCGTCGATATATAGTTAATGGTAACCAATCTTCTTCCAGGGGCCCACGTCAGTACGGTTTCTCGCTATGCTCTCCTTTGCTTTGCTTTTGAAACCAGGATTGGAGCCGGATTCTGGGGAAGGGAAGGGGACAGCGAGCAAGGGCAGGGAGAAGAGGAGAGCAAGCAGAAGTTAGCCTGCCCGTCACGACAAGGAAACTCAGTGTGAAGCTTGCGATGCCTTGCGGAGGTAACTCCTTCGGGATCGGGCGATGTCGGGACAGTCTGACTGCAACGCCGCTGGCGCGCTCGAGCTGGACTGGACGAGATGCGTTTCACCAAAGCCCAAGGGGAGCAACTCTTCCCGAGAATTTGAAATGCGACAGGGCGGCCACTGGCTGGCTAAAACTTCGTTCCCGGCGCTGAACGCGCATATCAGAGACTTTTTATTTGGGGTGTCTGACAGTGTCTGAAGTATACTCACACATAGTTACGTTCCTGCGTCATGGTAGAGTGACTGACTACCACCAGATCGAAGCAAAGCTCCTGCGCACGATCACCAGGGAAAGACGTTGTTCAACCGTCCATTGCCCGATCGTGCAATGACGAACTTGTGTCTTGGCCTACAATTGCTTCTTTTCTGGCTGCTGTTGTTGTACTTTTTTATTTTCTTTTCTTTTTTGCTTCCGCTTATGAAGGTGCTTTGATCATCGTACCCAGCTCTGGAGGACCCGGAGTCTAAGGGTTGGGTTTTTGATACAACTATTCAAATGGTGTTCGAAATTAATTTACAGCCCTCCGTCCTCAAGTCCCCTTTTTGGGCATTCAATACTCCGTACTCACCACAAGAGGATCCTGAGTTCCTTCGACGTCCCATCCTGACAAGGGAAGCTCCCGATCCGCTGCAAGCTTGACAAGGGTAGTTTCTGACAGGGTATGGATATGCTTCCTCTCCACCCTAGACGAACAGGGAAGATCCCTGCCAACCATGGTTTGAAGACAACGTTTGGTTTTGGGACTGCCCAACAAAATTTCCAGGGCCCAGAACCCAAAGTATGGACAAACAACCCAATCAAACCGATGGATATATAATTTCACAAGCCACATTTTAGCAACCGTTGGGCTCTCTTCTTTCGCAGTTCACCAGCCGTCGAATGGGGTTCAAGGTAATAATACATTACTCGACGACATCGTGAAGAGAAGTTTCTTGAAGGTGAGAGGCAGTGCGCCTCCCCGGGTTCCGTGGTTACCACCCGTAATATTATTGTCGCGATGATTATGCCTCGTTCGGCAGACAGTACGAGGACCTTTGGTCGATAGTTAATCACCATTATCCAGGCCTGGGTCTATAACAGACTAGGGCGATCGAATGCTGCTCCCATTTCCGAATATTACTAATAATGGCGCAATAATCTGTTGCAGGCTCATTTGTGGCGTTGTAAGGGTCACTGCTCCGTCTCGAGCGGCTGGAGCAAGGCAGAGGCAGATATTCACGGCACCATGGTTCGTATCCATTTCATGTCTAATAATAATTTTACACAGAGACAAACAGCCACCATGCTCCTCTCTCTTTGATGAATCACAAATCAGACTAAAAAGGCAGCGCTTCTTCACGCAGCAGCAGCAGCTCAACTAGTTATCGACTACCACCGCCCCAACGAGATCTTTCAACAGTACGGAGTACTCCGTAGTATTTTGACCACCGAACTAGTTAGTTACTTGATGAACGGTGCATTCTAGCTGGGGAGTTTCGCTCGCTCACCATAGGTTATCCCGTTTTGGAATGCGCCGAAATGAATCGCCGTTCCGATACGATAGGCCACAGTCGGCTCCTTGTTCCATCGCAAACCACCCCTTGAGGATCCTGATACAGTCGGGCCAAACCCATATCCATACCCATGCTGCTGCAGGCACCGTTTCGCCCTTCCATTGCCTTCCAGAACATCCACTAGTGCCGAATATTAGCTAGCTAAGCCGCTCATGGCCAATCCAATCCAGTCTGCTGTACATCATTCCCAACCACAGCTACCAGAAAAACAGCACGGTCTTTCGTATTGTACTCGGCGCTAATATGAAAGTGGCTTAGTTAACGCCGAGCAGCTTTGACAATTGGGCGAGAAGGCTGCGGATCAAGTTACCGTGGCAAGACGAGCTGATGATGATGGACGTGTTTGATGTTACCTTTCCGGGTTCACAGAGTAATATCAAGAAGTATGCAACGGGTTTAAGGATTTACGGAGTACGAAAATTGAGTAGGATTTCGCATTACATTCGCGACCATGGCTGCCCCTTTTCATGCATGTTATCACCACTACCCTCCCTTCGTCCCGTCCCGCACGACCTCTTACCAGATTTGTTGACTAGCCTGTAAGCGAACCCGAGTGATCGACTGGTTAGTTCCCACGACGGCCAAAAGGAGCAGAGGCATATGTCTGATAGCTAGGTTGATTACATGAATCCGGAACTGCAGGAAGATGAAGTGATACGTCAAACAATCAGTTGTATTCCTCTCCAGCGGCGTTTTCATGCATCGCGATCTACGGTGTACTGTGTCCCTGTCTTCAGCTCTAATAACAAACGCAGATAATCCTACCCTCAAGGGTGTGAACACAGCCGGCTGTAAGCTTTCAAAAGAGAGAACAACAGAATTGGCCAAATCTAAACGACAGCTGATCCTCTACCGCAAAAATCGATATGCAAGAGGGACGGTTGGGGTCAACCAGCCCCCGGAATGCGCAAGCTGACCTGCCCGCTCCCCTCCAATCGACAGACTCAGCTTCTACTCCAGCCTAACACCACTCACACTATATTTGAAACCCATGTGTGATATACGTGTTCTCGCCAAAGTTACCAATGCTCATCGCCCTTTGCTTAGACGGTCATGAAGTAGTATCTCATGGCTGAATCATATTCCATCAAAACTTCCGCCTCCATATCCTCAATCCTTACAATTCTCTGTTGCGAGACAAACAGCTCATAGGCGTCCACCATAATTGATGGGGCAACTGCTGCACAGATGTACTTAGAACCGCAGCCGTCGCCATTTTCCTTGGCAGCAACCCTGGTCTGATCAAATGCGCCTTCGGGAGCAAGCAACATAAGAAAATGGATCGGGTCGTTTGGTGACTGGGGAGTAACGCGCACAAACATCCCAGGCTTGAGGCGTTCTTTGAACGGGATGGTCGGTTTCTTCGGCTCGCTAGTCGCGGCGCTTTTAGTCTTCAGGGAACGGGAGTCAACGTGGAGCTGCCATATTTTATCGAAAAAGGCTCTGGCCTGCTCGGGCCGTACTCCATCCGCCTTTAGGCATCGGGAGACAAATTCGCTCTTAGGCAGCTTGCATATCTGTATCCCAGATTCAGTAGGCGCAACATGCGATGGATCTACAGGAGGTGAACCGGACTATGTTATAGCTGTCAGTTAGCATGTTGCCTCAGTTCGGGGTGGGAGGCAAAGAAAATGGGACCGAGAGAAAACAAAGGGCATGCTTAGATGGGGCCAACAACAGACATTGTTCACAATCCACTCTCGCAGCTGCTTGTTAGTCCAGGTACGTGGGACCGCTGGATCATAGACAACTGGCTTCAATTTAGGCACCTGAACCCTGAGCATTTCTGCATATCGAAGAGAGCTCTTCCCCTGATTTACGTCTATAGCGCTGGGGCTAACGCATGCAACGACGGCAGTCTTGCAGGAACGATGGCTATTGACGTCAAACACATGTTTCAGCACCTTGGTGAGCGTGGTGTTACGGAACGGTATATGCACATGTTTTGAGCTAGTGCCGCCTGAAGCCGTATTCTCGTTGATGTTCCAGGTAGCCCGGCCTCGAATACAGTCCTTGAGCATAGAAAGAGAGGAATTGATATCTTTTGTTTCTTTCATGCGCTCTGGAGTGTGGTCCTTGGAATCCGCCGCTGCCTCACTGCCTGCTAGGTCGACCAAAAAGAGCAGACCATCAGGGCAGTCGGGATGATCCTTGTTTTCGATCCTGATTCGGCAGATGGCGTGTGAGCGCGAAGAGGCATCGTTTTTAAGCGTCGGGGCACTAGCCCGGAAGATCATGCTTGTCTTGATCAGGTTGAGGAAATCCTCTATCGTCGAGGGAGTGCGTTCGACGATACCAACCAACTGGGTCTCTCCAAATGAATCTTCCATGACGCTGATCTGATGCTTGTCATTGAGGAGATCTGAATGCAGTCAATAAATGAAAACGGGTGCGCGAAGGGGGAAGGGAATGCATTCCCTACCAAATGCAGCTTTTCCTGCCAGCTCAAACACAGACATGTGAACACTGCGTCGGCCAGAGATCTTCCCGCCTAACAAATCCGATGCGATGAAGGTTTCCATTTCATTTACGGTAAAGGTCTTGCCTGATCCAGTCTGACCGTATGCAAAGAATGTTCCAACGCCGCCGCTCCACGCCCATGGCACCAGGGGAGCTACAAAATCGTCGTACATCGACCTTGTTGTGCTCTCTGGCCCATATGCGCGGTCGACAAGGAAGCTAGACGACTGTAACAGGTCTTGGTAATATGAACGTGGAGAAGCACGCATGGAGTATGTACTGTTTGAATAGTATATGGCAGTTGTTCATGTACATACATTCAAAGCAGGTTGTCCGTTGACCTTGAGTCGAAGCTCATGCACATCGACCTTGCCATTTCCATCACAGCGAACAAACAAGCCTGGAGTATGACCGGCTTCCTGCTCGTGGGGAAGAATTGGGCGTATCCTCGCGGAGATGGTCGTGTCAGAAGAGATCTCGCTCTCGTTTCCATTCTTCGTTTGTCCAGCAACGGGGTTTGGCTTGAACTCCCTGACTTTCTCAACAAAGAAAGCCTTGTGTTCGGCGAGAGAAGTCGGAAGTGCCATACCTCCAATTACCTGCAACACTTTGCTGTCGGTTCTGGGTATTTAGCATCTCACGACTCAGCAAAGCAACCCACCAGGCAACCACTTCAACTTCTCTTGGCCTTTTTAGTTTTTTGATGACTTCTCTTTTGGTCTAGAACAGCCAAGAGGTCGACTCCCGGCTTGGCGCCCGCCTGCCCCAAGCTTGCAGCTTATTACGTAGTTTTGGGGACCCAAGGTTGGACGAGCAACAGTGCAAACTGGGAAGAGAACAGGGTGTGACGTGCTGGTGCTCATCTGCACACCCTACATAGGGAGCTGACCTGTCCAGCTGTTGTCCTGCTTTTATCTTAAAAGGAAGCCGAGCTGGCCGTGCATGAAGCGAGGGTAAATAGCTGACCTCCGCTGCCGTCTAACTATAAGAGTTCCCTCCACAACCTGCCCAACCTGGGGAAGAAGCCACAATGCTGTCGTGCTGCAGACCTCGAAAAGATGCTACTGGTGAACGAGAGCCTCTGCTTGCAGCCTCAGAGTCGGAAACTGAGCTGCAGCGGAAGGTAAAGCAGAAATTTCGTCAATATGAGATGTTCCGAGCGTTGTCCGCTGGTTACATGCCCACAACAGAGCAAGCAGCAGCTCTTCTGCGGCTTGTCCTCGTTTCCGATGTGTTGAACCCAGATAACCCCATGCTGAGTCCGAGGGGCGGAAGGATCGCAAAGGATTGTCGAGCGTGGACCCGAATATTCATTGCTCTGTTGCGAGAGAAAAACAGTGGCGACCAGCTACAGGAAATCATAAGCCAGTTCATCCACTCGGACGTTTCTATAAGCACAGCCCAGGTTGCTTCCGCAGCATCAAAATCCAAGGCCAGGGCAGATACTATTGCTGGTATTTTTGAACTCTTATCCTCCGTAGATATTAAGTCTCATATTGCTGCAATGCCTGTGGCGGACAAGCTAATGACCTGAATATCATAGCATATGAAAGCGTACGCACCGTTGGTAAACTTCTTATGACCAACTCAGACTTTCGTCGTCTGATAGGAGACATTACCACTATCGGCCGCAGTATCTTTTCTGACACCACGACAACACTCTCAGACGCAATAAACAGGGTCGCAGAGGAGGTGGAGCCATCAGAACCACAAAAGAACAGTGTCAGGACGACAAATGGCGACAATAAACAGGCTCCCACCCCCGATGAGCTAATGCAAGATGGGGAGCAAGTTAAGGAGACTGCGAAGGAAGGGCTGGAGGATACCGGGCGTGCAGCCAAAAAGAGTGCTGAAACCAACGTGTCCACCGAAGTGCAAGATTCACTTTTCTACCAGATGAAAAAGACAGTGGAAGACCTACGTTTAAGGTCTGATTACGATAAATCCGTGTCAACCATATCAGGACTTGTCCAGCGGTATGCTGGAATATACATGCAGACTGTAGGGTCCACAGTTGAGGGTGTTTCGGACGCTCTAGACATCGACCCAGAATTTCATGACGCCATGAAGAACTTATGGGAGCTTGCAACATCCTTCGGCAGTCAAATTGAATGGCAATCCCTTGAAAGTAAATTCCAGCAGCTGATGCAAGGTACTAAAAGAAGCACTGGAGTTAACGACACACTTGACCACATTGGACAATCCATTTACAGCCTCTTCACCGACCCCAGTTTCTGGGACTCTGGAGATGACACCGTGAAGACCCTGAAGGAGAAAGTAAAGGAGACTGAAGGCGACTTACCGCAGCAGGAATTCAAGGACTTTATCTATCAACTCAAGAAAACACTGATATCTGTCACACAGGATGCCGCTGTTGCGAAACTCATCACAGCCACAAAGAAAATTGCACTGGGTATATGTGAAGCATATCGTAATGAAGGTATTCGTCTTATGGCAGACGCTCTCAACATCTTCCTTCCTCTATTAATTCGAGCTATCCAGTATATACCCATACCAAGATTGGAAGTCTCGGTCCCTCAGATGGATCTTCTGCTTGAAAACGTTGTGATTGAACCTGGACACACTGTTCACAATTCCTCGTTCCTTCCATATCAAGTCCTAGTCACCACAATAAATAACATGGAGCTTCGCAAAACCCATTCGAAGGAGGCGGTTTCAGGCATGAAAAACGTCGTTAACGTCACCCTGAATGGCCTTTGCTTTTCTGCAAATGATTTCGGCTACTGGATAAAAGCGCATAGGCCTCCTTTCCCATCCATATTTGATGAAGGAATCGCCAGTTTCTGTCTTGATCAACGCGGAATAGACGTCTCTTGTGAATTTGAGGTTGGCAGAGAGCGGTTGGAACAGATTCTGTCTCTCCGTGCAGTGAGAGTTCATATCCATAAATTGGACTACTCTATTGCCAAGAGCCGCTGGTCATGTATCTTGTGGGCTCTTAAACCTTTCCTCAAACACATGATCAGACGCAGCCTGGAGAAAATGATAGCCGAGAAGATAGTTGGCTATGCTAGGGCAGCAAATCGAGAACTGCTCTTTGTGAGAGAGCGCCTACGCGCCGCGCGCATAGCTGATCCTGACGACTTCCTAACTTTTATCAGAGCGATTATGGCTAGGCTGAGTGGGAAGGCGGACCCAAATATATTCACTAGACTCGGGTTTGACGCTCAGCGAGGGGGCATCTTCGACGGCGTTTATGCCCCAGGTAGTCTTGCCAAAGCCTGGCATGAGGAACAGCAGAGAGCGGACGAACTTATTAAAAGAAGCAGCCAAGACAGCCCTAACCAAAAGCCGACTTGGAGAAATAGTATATTCGATGTCCCAGCCAGGGGTCACTAATCCAGCCACTGTTTTGATCCTATGCAGCCTTCGCATTTCCCTACATTGTGAGTAGTACTTATTTCGGGCGAGATAACACTCTTCAACCTCACCGCAAAACGATCAAGCTATGCAACTCCAGTATGTCAAATGGAAATTAGCTCCTATCGACTGTCTCTTCGTCTTCAGCTGTCCTCTGTTCGCTTCTTTCACCAAAAACATAATCTACATTAGGTAGTACGGAGTAGATCTATCCATTCAAGATGATTATTTAGGTGATTATATCATCATCGGCAAAAGGTTTATCCTTTCGGAGCTTGCGGCGGTCCTTCCAAACTTTAAATTTACTACCTAATCGATAATAAGGGAAGTTGATAATCTGGCATCAACGCGAGCATCGAGTCGGCCATCGATCATCTTTGTCTGCTTCCCTCCCGAGGACAGCCAGCTAGTTTTTGAGCTGCTGAAGAGGAGTGCAAAGCCCTGGCAACTTGACCTGCCATTGGTAGATTTCGCCAGCCCTTATCTTTTTTCCCCAGCGTGCTGCACCCTATATTTCGTTTCTACCCACCGGAACAGCTACTATTGAATCCTTATAACACAGGCAGAATACGTGCTAAGCGCTTGAAGCGCATTCGGCTTTGCCATATTGCAATACTGTTTATTTTCACGTCCTCCGGTTTCTGGGGATTGACCCCAGTCGGTCACCATGCTCGTCTTTCCGCTTCTCCTACTCTCAACTCTCTTCATCCTAATACCTCTGACACTATGCGCTGAGGACTACTACAAGATACTGGACATCGATCGGTCAGCTTCAGAGCGCGACATCAAAAGGGCATACAGAACACTAAGCAAAAAGTTCCATCCTGATAAGAATCCGTGAGTAGAATGCACCGGCGCAAGACAGCGCAGATACCTGTTAGCAAGCTGTAATGGCTCAAATTTATTATAAGCGAACCACCTTAGCTAAGAATTTTGTGTAGTGGTGACGACTCGGCACGTAAAAAATTCGTCGATATTGCTGAAGCATATGATGTCCTATCCACGGCTTCGACAAGGAAAATATATGACCAGTACGGTCACGAGGGCCTACAACAACACAAACAAGGCGGAAGTGGTGGTAGACATGACCCTTTCGACCTATTCTCCCGGTTCTTTGGGGGTGGAGGGCATTTCGGTCATCAGGGCGGCCACAGACGTGGTCCTGATATGGAGCTCCGCCTCGACTTACCACTACAAGACTTTTACAACGGCAGAGAGATAGATTTCAAGATTCAGAAGCAACAGATTTGTGATGCTTGCGAGGGCTCTGGCTCTATTGATGGAAAAGTGGATGTCTGCAGCCAATGTCAGGGCCATGGCGCTGTAATTCAAAAGCACATGATCGCTCCCGGCATCTTTCAGCAAGTTCAAATGGCCTGTGACAAGTGTGGATGGAAAGGGAAGTCAATTCGGCATCCGTGTAAAGTGTGTGGTGGCAACCGAGTTGTCAGGGCCGAAGTTCCTATATCGGGCACTGTTGAAAGGGGCATGGGCCAGGGATCGAAACTGGTGTTCGAGAATGAAGCCGATGAAAGCCCCGATTGGGTTGCGGGTAATTTGGTTGTCACATTGAGAGAAAAAGAGCCCATCCTGGGTGAACATGAGGCTCAGCGTACCGATGGAACATTCTTCCGGCGCAAGGGCAAGGACCTTTTCTGGAGAGAAGTCCTCAGCATTAGAGAAGCTTGGATGGGAGAGTGGACTCGAAACCTAACACATTTGGATGGGCACATTGTACAGATAGGTCGCAAACGAGGCGAAGTTGTCCAGCCCTTTACTGTGGAGAGGATACCAGAGCAGGGAATGCCGATATATCACGAGGGCCATATCCACGAACAATCTCCACATGATGAGTTCGGCTCGCTTTACATTGAGTACATTGTTGTTCTTCCCGACCAAATGGAGAGCGGCATGGAAAAAGATTTTTTTGCCTTGTTCGAAAAATGGAGAAAAAAGAATGGTGTCGACCTCCAGGAAGATTCGGGCCGGCCAGTCCCTCCAGAGGTTGAACAGCACGACGAACTATAATATATATACATACAAGCATTCCACAATTATATCCTATCCCGCCGGCCATTTGCAACTCCTTTTTCAAATGCTCTTCTTCATATTGTATTTATTTGAACGCCCACTTGGACTTTCCCCTTCCCTTGCGATTGCAGCTGCTTTAGAACTTAGAAGATGAATAGGATAGACAAGGTATTTTCTCTCCAGGACCTGCATTTGGCTATTTCAATCTTCATTCTTCACTGTCCGGCAAACAAAGAAATCACTCACCAGTCACTGGAGGCCTATGAAGGCGCTTTACTACCTACAGAACTTGCTCTCTTAACGAGGTAACGGGTCTGTTACCCCTATCAACAAACCCGGCGCCTCAACTTATGGTTTACGTGTCTTGGTTATAAAAACATTTCCATCAGTATATCTTTACATGATAATATGAAGAAAATGCGAAGATATTTCCTCCTTACGCTCTTACTCCTATACCTAACTGTGGGAGCCACATGTTCTACCTCGTCGGACCGCAGCGATTTTCCCCAAAGAGTAGCGGATGTGGATTTTGCTGATTCTGTGGCCGCCTACTTACGACGCAATCTTGATGGTGAGTACGTATCAAAGATATTTTCAATCCAGTTACATATACCCTAAGAGAAATAACTCTGGATAGGGGCGTATTTATCTCCCTGGGGCTAACAGTTACTCCCTCTAGGTAACCCGCTTCAAAATCTAATCCCGAAGAACTTCCTCTACTCCATATCTATGGATGGCCAGCCGGTCTTTGGACCGCAAGGCCAAAGACGTCGAGCTAAGAGATTTTCGCCGAGTATTAAGCAAAGCCCTATTAAAAATATCATCAGCATGGAGAGCATTATCCTGCTACTACATGTTATTGGGGCAGCAGAAAGCGCAGAGCAGGTCACCAAGCTATGCGAGACGGTGAATTTCAAACGGATTACAGACAACGGGCTAGATGGTGCGATGCTTGAATCGATGATATGCAAACGAAACGACCTTGAATTTTACATTCCGGCAAACTCGGACGCAGTAAAAGAGCTGCTGTCAACGTGGTATATGGGGTTATGGATGCAAATACTTTATGTTGCATTTGCAGGGCATTACCCAGACCTGTGCAAGATATTCGAAACGAAGAAGATGTCTATCATAAATATGAACGGGACGTTTTTGGAACAAATACTGTGCTCTTTGTAGGTACGGTTTGACCTACACAATGAAGGGCCAAAAAGAGTTTCTCCTTTTATATGAATGGATACCTGGTAAGTCCTTTTTTTTTTTTTTGTAAGAACTGACAACAGCTATTTTTTTTTTTTTTTTTATGATATTTTTTTGTATATTCATTTGTTAAGTTGGACTCGATTGTTATGTTTGATTTTAACTATGTCTCAATATTGCTGTCTTTTACCCTAAGATAATACCAAGTTGCCAAACCACCCACTGTACCCCTATTGATTGCCCTTGCGTCATTGAATATCAGGCTGCTCTACCTGGATCTATATTTCCAGAGCCGTCCCATTTTACATTTCTTACTTTCAGTTGGTAGTTTCGGCCTCCGCTCCACTGCTGATACCTCCTATACCCAACATATGAAAGGACAATCAAGATCACACCCACAAGAACCCCAGTAGCAATCCCCGCAACTGCACCTCGTCGAAGCCCTATTCTTAAACTTCCAGCTAGATCAGCCTTTATTGTTGGTTGAGTGCTAGGCACTTCACTTGCGGTAGAGCTGGGGAGTATAAGGTCGCCCGATGTGTTGCTAAAGCAGGGGACTCGAGGGTGAAAACTCCTGGAAGAAATATATCTAATATCGGCACATGAATACAAAGTCTTTGTGTTGGCAGCGTGGTCAAAGTGAGCTTGATATTTTATCTGCAAAGTGGCATCTGTTTCATTCATGGTATCCTTTGGGGGGTCCGGGACGGGATAACATCCACCTCCAAGGGCGAGACGTTTGATTCGGTTCGGTTCTATAAGGACAACGAAATCATCATTGGACATGGGATCTAATATACTCGCTAATTAGCAGTGCTCGGTTCTCTGCTTAGTTCGGACTTCTTTACTTTCTTTGTATGATATGCTCACTTGGATGTTTGCGGCATCCTCTTCAATTACAAGTGCTAGAACTCCATGTGCTAGTTAAATCTTCATTAATATGCTCCATCTCCTCTACACGAGCCGCATAGGGTATGTTATGCACTCACATAAAGGAAAATACGTTCGATTTATCACGCCCACGGCTGAGTCACAGGGAGCGGCGTTGTGTTTGGCCCCATTCTGCTCTCGGCTATTGGGCCATATGAATCTTACAGGGTCCATCGTGCCTAGTTCGGTTTTGACATATCTACAATAACCGACCCTGCAGACTATTTCCCGAGTACTTTAAGGCGAGGGCTCTACACGTGATATATATACGTATATCTTTATTATCGTCGTCAGCAATCATACGATCTAGGTGTAACATCATTTGTTTGCCAGCCAAAGATGATGTGTCAAAAGGCTATATGAGGGCTGAAACTAGCTTTAATGGCCTTATACCTTACACAAGGGAGGGGGTGCTGCCGAAATATCTGGACATATTATATGCACGCATAAGAGCGAATCATCACTTCGTCGAATTCTTCCAGGACAGTTGCAGTATTTCCATGATAATTAACATCATAGGCGCTGGGAGAATTGTGAGATACTACAAACAGCTTAAATTCTGATACAGCTTTAATTGTTATTGATTAAGGTAGTGATAATCTGCTATCCTTGAAAGAAACCGCCCTGGTGACTTACCTCTCCGTTCGAAACTTTGTTGAACCGCCTAGTTTTCGTTGGTCAGATATCTCTGCCCGGCACATTCAAGCCAAGTTCCGGCGGTAACACCAAGTCGTAACTATTATGCTAACTTGTTATAACAACTTCCCAAAACTTATATTTCATTAATGATCAAGTGATAAAGGATCATGGCTGTATCTTATAGCTGAAGAAAAGAAACCCCTCTATTTTCTTATATAACCCGTATGCAAAAAGCCGTTGTCTTGAAAGTTGATTCTGATCTGATAACTTAATATTGCAATTTCCAGGCCTTCTATTGGTCAGCTAAGCTTTCATAACCCCACTCTGATACTTATCTGATCTTATCTATCAATAAGCTCCAAGGGTCGCTGAATGAATTTACCTTGATTTACAGCGTGCATTAAAATTACCAGCGGTACGAATTGCTCGCATATATAGTATTCTTTTACTCATGTAGGGCCTAAGCCCACAATAGTCTCTTATCTTTTAAGAGCAAAGTCATTTCGGAGAGCAACCCTTGAACGCTGATAACAACCGGTATACAACGAATAATAAATGGGATGGCTTGGATATACCGGGTAGATGCTTGGGCTGCATGCTGTGTATGTTGGTTATCACCTATGAAATGCAGTGAGATGATCAACTCTTGACAAATCTATTAACGGGACAACTACAGATATAATTCGTATTCTTCACGAGATTGTTCATAAGCTTAAGAAGCCAGTTCTAACAGCGATAGTAGAAGTTTGATTTTATTCGTGGAGTAAATCATGCTTAAGAATCTTCTCTAAACGTTGGTAGGCGCATCCTATAAGGGCAAGGCAGTCGCAAAGGCAAACAGATAAATCTGGGTCGCAAGCAACAGCGAAGACCCGCAGGACGGGGGCCTACGTATCCCAAAGACACTAGATATTATTTTGCCTTCTAGACACCTTGCGGTGTAGCACCACAGTATTTGCGGCATCGCATTTAGGGTATACTTAGTTGACTTCCAATGTTATTTTGAGTAGGGACTTTCATAAATGATGCGAGAATGCTCCCTAAAGTTGCGGTGTAGGGAATGGCTATCACCACACGATAAAAGCAGGTATGCCTAGTATATAGGATGACAAGTGCGGAAGGTGTCGCGTATTAGAAATACGAGCGGAATTGTGCATTCTCAAGTGTGTTAATATTAAATAATAAATACATGTGAAAAGAAAGTATTAAACAGATATATCCAACGAGATACCGAGTCCATACTAGAAGGAAGGTGGGAGAGAAAAGAATAAAAAAGAGAAAGAAAAGTAATTGCGTCAATGCAAAAGGGCGCTTCCGCTAAAAAACTTCCAGCCAGTGCTGCCGATAAAACGCCAGTCAAAGAGGTCCAGATAAACAAAGAAAAAAAAAAGGCTATAAACTAAAACGAAGGCCATCTGAAGTATGTCCGCATTCCTGAACTTATGCACTGCGAAAGTTATGCACTGCGAAAGGGTGGCGACTGGGTCAAGGTGAAAAAATGAGCGAGCGGCATAGCTTAGGCACACACAAGCTAAGTGTAGAGTAGAGGACAGAAGCTAGCAGTGCACGACTCTGCTTCTCCGTCTGGCTTTTAATCGATGTTCGGTATCCATGAGTTTGTTCTGCACCCATAACCGGGATTCCTGATCCGTCTTAATGTCGCTGCAGTTGAGCAGGTCGATCAGTGCGAGTTTGACCTGGAGGTCGACGTCATTTGACCTGTCGCCATTGTCGTCGGAGAGGTTAAGAGTTGGGTCAAGGATGTCGGCAAAGCAGCGGGATGAAGGTGGAGTGGATTGGTATCGAATTGGGGATGGATGGCGCAGTATTCTGGCAGGCGGAGGGCATGGAGAAGACGGAGACTGTGAGGATAGCTGTGGCGAAGAGGTTTGATGATGTTGGATGTGAGTATCGCGCAATTTTGAGCGACGGGCGGCGAGAGACATCGCACAGCTACGGGGAGTCGTTGGTGATTCGAGAGTAGGTTCGTCAATAGCGAGAGTGTTTATCGATATCGGAATTGACTCCATCTTGGTGGTTTAAGTGTTGTATGTCGGTGGTGTGATTTTTATTTGACTGTGGCGGACCCTTCTAGGGGGCTGTATGCGAGCGAAGCCAAACTGCCACTTCAGGAGAGGAAAAGGAGTGACCAGCAAAACATTAGATTCTCTTGGTTTGATGGGAACTTTTATGAAGGGCGTCCCCGTGTTTATACGCAGGAGTAGGTGCGTTGGGTTGAGAAGTGAGGGTAAAAGGGGTATTTATCCCGTCTCTAAGGCTTCCCCCCCTTGCGACCCTCAAATCAACGATCTCCTCTCCTCCCTGTTGCTCCTGGCCAGGCCATGTCATCACTCCACCACTAGCGACAAGTTGCTGCGCAACCTCGAGTCTGGCCGCTGTGGAACCATGATGTAATGGGCTTTAATTAATTATGGAGATATGAACCCCCTAGCAGCGGCCAATCATGCCTAGCAAGTTTCGCCGTTTAACTGAAGGATCGTTACTGACATAAGCCTGTTCCCTCCCATTGACGGTCCCCCAAGGGCAAGGCTATCGGGGGCAGCCTGTTGGGAGTTCCCGGGGGTTACGGAGAAGCCCACATAAAAGGGCAGGCCGCAAGCATGAAGGCACCGTGAGCTTGGGAAGCGGAAAGAGTGAAGATAAAAAAAAAAAGGTAATATAGAAAACTTGCTGGCGGGAGGGGGAAAAAAACTCAGTGGAAAATCTTGAAAGCCTGAGTCACGGCCACTATGGGGTCATCGAGGAAGGTTATCGCAGTACTTGGCCCAGGCCGGGCGGAGGTCGTTGATCGGCCTCTGCCGGTGGTGAGGGACAGGTTTATGCTGGTAAAACCTGTTGCGATTGCGTTGAATCCGACAGACTGGAAGCATATTGACGCGGGTGTGGTGGGAGCCGTCGTGGGCTGCGACTATTCTGGCATCGTGGAAGCCATAGGCAAGGGAGTCAGGAAGAAGTTCAAGAAGGGCGATCGGGTTTACGGTGTCGTCCATGGCTGCAACAGACAAGAACCAGACGACGGGGCGTTTGGCAACTACATCCTTGTCAAAGCAGACGTTCAGTCGCATATTCCAGACAACCTATCCTTCGAGGAGGCCGCCACGCTCGGGGTGGGCATCATAACCGTGTGTCAAGGGTTATATCTTGGTCTTGGATTAGATCTGCCCACCTCCCCCAGCTTCAAGAGGACGCCGGTGCTGATATACGGCGGCAGCACGGCGACTGGCTCGTTGGGCATCCAATTTGCAAAACTGTACGTTTTTTCAAAAAAGAATACACAGAAAACGAGTAGCGTTTGAATATACCCACGGAACTTGAAATGTCCAACCAGAGTCCGAAAAAGCCAATTGCGATTTTATTCTGGAAAAGGAATTATTTTGCAAGCAAACCAACCGCTTTGCTGACGATCTGGAGTTGAACTCATAGGTCCGGCTTTGCCCCAATCGCAGTCTGTTCCCCGCGGAATTTCGAGTTCGTTAAAAGACTAGGCGCCGTGGCGGCTTTCGACTATCACGACTTGGACTGTGGCCTCAAGATCCGTGAATTTACCGGAAATAAATTAAAACTGGCCTGGGACACCATATCGCTCCCTGCCAGCGCACGCATATGCGCTCATGCCATTTCCACCGGTCCCGGCGGTCGATACTTTGCGCTGCTGCCGGAGCCCTGTCCTCGAGATGACGTCGAGTCGAGCTACACCATGGCCTACTATATGTTTGGCGAGAAAGTCCAAATGTCTGAGGATGGGCCGGTGATACCCCCGGATCACTCCGGGTTTCGATACGCGAAGGAGTTTGTCTCCATGGCAAACCAGCTGCTTGCTGACGGCAAGATCAAGGTCCATCCTCAGCAAGTGTGCGGCGGTGGCCTTGCAGGAGCACTCGAGGGCCTGGAGATGATGAGAGACGGCAAGGTGACTGGCAGCAAGCTGGTATACCGGGTGGCGGAGACTCCTGGCCTAGAACCCCCCGACTCGACATGAAGGGGGGAGGAAGAACTCCTAATGCATGTCTCTGTTCCGTTTTTAGAATTTTATATGACGAAACGGCTCGTGTTGTCTCTGCCAAGTTGGCCCCCTTGTAGGTACTTCTGGTGGTTTGTCCTTGAAGTATCATTTTTTGTATCTCGAGCGAATGAGGTTGGAGAAGTCGCAGTCGCTGAACTTTGCATAAACGGCGGATGCTGATTGGTGATTGCTTAGTCATCTTACTTAGTCATGGCATTATTTATGCTTAAATTCACGTGATGCATAATATTGTTTAAGCTCAATTTTATGCATGGATAAAAGATCACATGATTATAATTACATAATATTGTCGATGGCTTAGTCATCTCTTATCGCTGACAATCGAAAATTTGAAAGTCGCAAGCAAGAAAAGAAGAAAAGTAACGCTGAAGCTGACGAATATTGAACAGCTCGATAGAAGACAGGCAAGATGGTCCGGAAACTCAAATATCACGAGCAGAAGTATGCAATTTCCAGTGGTTTCCTTTCCCCTGCAGCCTTCGCTAACTTTTCTCTCTGCGCAGGCTCCTTAAAAAGGTCGACCTCTACACATACAAATCCGACAACAACCACCGCGAGGCCACTATCCGGCGCCGCTACCATCTCCAAGATCCTCTAGACTACAAGAAATACAATGCCATTTGCGGCTCCCTACGGCAGTTAGCTCATAAACTTGCAGCACTTGACCCGGACTCGGACCCAGTGCGCAAACAGCTCGAGTCTCAGATGCTAGAGAAGCTTTGGTCGATGGGAATATTGAAGCAGAACCGTGAGCAAGGTGCAGGACTAAGTAAAGTCGAGCGAGAAGTTACTGTTAGTACCTTTGCGAGGAGGCGGTTGGGTGTAGTTATGGCGAGGAATGGGATGGTGGAGAGTGTTCCGTCTGTATGTGTTCATGCGTTGCATACATGACTTGCGACTCGGTTTGCTAATGGTACGTGATAGGCTGTTAAGTTTATTGAGCAGGGCCATGTGCGCGTTGGGACAGAGGTCGTTACTGATCCTGCTTTCCTGGTGACGAGAAACATGGAAGATTTCGTAACGTGGGTTGACTCTAGTAAGATTAAGAGGAATATCCTGCGGTACCAGGAGAAGTTGGATGACTTTGATTTGCTATGATTGTCGGAATTGTGTCGTTATATAGATATACCCTTGCTGCTGTTTTTTTTTTGTTATGACGGAATATAAAAGTACGAGATTAGAGGAGCACTGGAGCAATATAGAAACAGCTTATATGTGTGATCAGCTTCTGTAATGGCATTGAATTATCTATGCTATGTATGCAGAACAAATGAAACGGGGTATCTCTAACCCTCGATTGCCGGTGGGAAATAGTGGGAAATATGCTTTTGACCGCAAGACGTCTGGTATCATATGCTTATATGGTATGGTAGGAATAACGCAGGGAAACAAGGAACTGGGGGTGAAGAAATCAGAGCAAGTATAATTGGCGCAAAATTATCAATTGCAGGAATAGTGACGAATGGGAATGGGAATATCCTGTAGATTGTCGTATGCATGGATGGTGTTTTGTTGTTTGTTGTTCTGTGAGATCAATTAAATCAATTGTGTAATGTGAATGTGGTATAGTTAGAATCAGAATGCATGGGAATATGAGGGTTTAATGAACGGTCGTAATGCGTAATGCATGAAAGTGGTATGAAAGCTAGACCAACGACGAATTACGCCTGTTGATAAAAGGCCGCCATTGTTTAGTGGGAATAGGAGTAGACTTCTCCTTGACAGGCTGAGCAGTCTCGTTCTCTAACTTGAGTCGAGTCAGTGCTGAGACGAGTCCATTTCTCAACACACCTAGTCCTTGACGTGGCGGCTGATCGGCACATTTATCGGTATCATCTTCCTCTGGAATATCCATGCGGAACCGCCTCACGCTGCCATCGTCCTTTGCATGACCGGCCTTGCATTCTTCAAAAAAGGGGGCTCGAGCGTCTTTACTCTGGCACCACTGGGGAGCAAACTTCCTCCAGGCACCACGAATACCACGACTGGCACGGTCGATCTTTTCATATTCCCTCCGTCTGGTTGAGGGAGACGTCCAGTCGATTACAGTCTTAGGCAGGGGCGGTGGTGAAGAGACGTTGTTTGTTTGGTCATGGATGGGGTTCCACGTAGACTGATGGATGAGTGGAGATGGGATGCCATCCGACTGAAATGGAGAAGTAGGTGTGTTTTCAGTTCGTAGCAGCGGAGACGCAGAAGCCGAATGTTGAGGCTGCTGTGAAGAAGAATATCTCGTTGGTGCGGTAGAGACATGTGAATGGGAGTGGCGTGCTGAGGAGTTAGGGTCTGTAGGAGACGAAGAGAGCTCTTTGTATGGCCCCATCTGGCTGAAAAGAAGACAACTTTCACGGTGCAGGGCAACGAGGTCTCGCTCGTTACGCTGAGGGCTGCTGCCCATATCTGACCGAGAGTGTGTATAGTTGGTATAAGTCCCTGGCCCTGCCCCCGATCTGCCGCGTAGATGCTGCATGCTGCGCCTTGGTCTGGTCGACGAAGTAGACCTGGAAGACGAAGATGCCTGTCCTCTCGACGTCCTTCGACGCTCTAGAGAAAAGGAAGATGCTCTAGATCCCGCATCACTTGGCTTGCGCGCTGATGCCGCGGTAGGGGTAGCCGTGGTGGCAGACGGCCTGATCAAGCTCTGCACCTCCGGGACGTCCTCGTCGTCTGCACTGGACATGGAAAAGGCTGATACTGGGCTCCCGGTGGCCGCGTACGTCCTGCTGGGCAACGCCAGGTCTGTCACTTGGAAGGGCGGAAAGTACGATGTTTCATCTCCGACAGAGGCATCAAAGGGGCGCTCATCCTCGAAGAGAAAGGACGTTATATAGTCCTCTTTCGAGCTTGTGTTCAGCTTCTTCTGAGTCTTGGGTATGTAGATAAAGGGAGAAGAGACAGCATTATCTTCACTGATGCCGCCATCACTTGCTTGGGTCTGGCATGTGAGGCCGGCCATGATGGCTGGTGCCGGTTGGTGATGCTTAGTCGGACGTTGTAGCTGTCTTGTCTTTCTACCAGAGTCAGCAGACAACGTCCTCAACCTCAACCTCAACCTCAAACCTCCGCCTCAATTGTGAATGAGCCAACTTACACTCTTTGTCTAAAGAAGATGGAAGATCCCTCTTTAACGGCCTATATATCGGGAGATGACATGTGAAAGAGAAGAAAGAAGACAAAAAGGGCAGCTTGGTGATTGGACGCGCATGTGCAGGCAATCAGGAGACAGGCAGTTGATCACTTGAAGCTCAACCTCGAAGCCTTGCTGACAGCCTTATAGGTCGAGACAACGGTGATGATAGGGATGGGGATGATGGAGCTGGGTAGAGCCACCGCCTGCAGTGAAGAGTTCGAGTGCATATATATATCAAGTGCATGAATATATATAGAACGAGGACTGCAGCATCAAGCGCCGGGGAGCACTCGAAACAAGAACGGAGGAGCCGATATCCAGGCGCCTACTGAGACAGAGAAGCTCACCAGTCATGTCTTCACACCTTCATCTCTGCGGGATGACTCCTGTCACAGCTGGCGCGCAAGACTTCCATCAGGGACAGACGGACGGACAGGGAATCCTCGGCCGTTATAACTAGTCAGTCGAACTGGTGCAGCAGCAGAAGCAGGACGCCAAAAAAATGGACAAACCCCATCCTCGGAGCGGGGCAAAGAGACTAGAGGTCCTCTTCTTCGATCGATCTTCTTCATCTGCTTCTGTTTCTGCTTCTTTAACGTCCACCTGATTGGGCGCCATCGCCTCTCCTTCTCACCGTAAGTGTGTGAGAGCCCTGTTTGACGGACGGGAGCATGTTGCCCGCGCAGGGGCACACGGGAAGGGCGAACCCGGAGCAGAAGCAAGCAGAAGCAAAGAAAAAAAAGAGAGTCTAGGAAGAGAGAACATGCGGTTACAAGGAGGGAAAAAGGAACGAAACCCGCATGACCCTTGCCCATGCATCATGCATCATTCATGCACCTCCGGAGGGAGAAACTAGTATGGCGAATCGTGGCTCAGCGTGGCGGCGCGTCGAGCTCTGGCTTGCTGGCCGGTTATTGGGTCTTGCAGATGTTTATCAGGGTTAGCTCGAGTTAGTACCTCCCCGGCTGGCCTTGTCGGGCTCTGACTGGAGCAGACTCTGACTTGAGCTGCAATGCATACTGCGTGGCACTCAAGTTCGCACTTACAGTTGGGGTTGATCGGCCAGGGGAGACGAAGACGAGGGCAAAGTTGCGGTCGAACCGAACGAACCGGTTCGAAATATGGACATCTTCAGTTCATGCTAATGTCCGTTATGTGTACGGAGTATGTGCACTCCGTATACTGCACATGGTGTTGCGTCAACAATGAACCCGGAGAAATGGGATATCCGCACATAATACTATTATTATTGCCGATAGACGAGGCGAGATGCAGGCGGAGCAAGTTAGATCGACTCGCTTTGTGACTTTGTCGGTCACACGTCCGAAGTCGCTGGCAAATGTCGGACAGAGAAGCAGGTCACTTGCATACTTAACCAGGAGCTACATAGTAGCGGTGACTTTGATGCATGGATAAGGAGACACTGACGCTGGACAGGCAATTGTGCATTTACATACGTGGGGAAATTACTTTGACAGGTAATTCAAGATTTCCAGTCAACCTCTTGCTGGTGTTGGATGGAAGAAAGAAGATTCATTGCATGCATGTCATGAGATACAGTACGTTAAACATTCACACTGAGTAAGTAAACTCTGAGTTCTCCATGTCCGTGAGGTCAAGCCATCTATCGTGAGGTCAGTCGGTCGAACAGCATGAACGGGGAGGGGAAGACGAGACATACTCCTGGTTTTCGACCTTGGTGTAGCCTGGCTCAGCTCTGAGCTTGGCCTTCTTTGCGTTCTGTCGGTTATACCACCACCAGATGAAGTACATATCGACCAGACAGGCAGAGAAACATGCCAGGATAGTTGCCTTGGCCGGCGTGTACTCGGGGGCATGCTCGGGGCGGAATGTTTGTGGCCCTGTATGGATACATTAGCACGAACAATGACTAGCAGACACGAGGTCTTCGACATACCGATGATGTTGCCTACACAGTATCCGATCAGGTACAGTGCAGCAACAGTGGTTTTCTTGGTGTATCCCGCTACATTCGAAGATATCAAGCCTAGGATACACACAAAGGGGGTCGGGCTAGCCAGGGTCAGGTAGTATCCTACCAGGCGGCCAACGGAGAGGCTCTCGGGCAAAGCTATCATGAGAGCAGTGCCGACGATTGCGACGAGGAGGCCGCCTGATGAGACGAGGATGCGTTGCTGGTAGTAGTCGCCGAGGAACCCGTTGAGGAGGAGGGCTACCACCTCGACGGCACCGGCGGGAGTACCGTAGAGCAGACTCTGCTCAGGTGTATACCCGAATCCAACGATCTTTACACGTTAGGCTACTTGATCCTACTTCGCGGGTAAGACAGGAGACACTCACCAGCTGGTTAAAGAAGTTGCTGATGCCACCTTTCGAGTCCGATTAGCATCTACTGTTTTACACGACCTTCATTGAACAGGCTTGGCTGGCTCACCATTAGGGATATCTGCTGCAACGGCGTAAAAAACAAACGCCCAGGTCATCGGGTCAGCCAATGCTTCTTTGAGCTGATACAGCTTAAAGTGCTTGTTGCCGATACCCTGCTGGTTGACCCTCACTCTCTCTACGGCCAGTATACGATCTTCCTTCTTCAGCCAGCGGGCATTAAGCTGGTTATCCGGAATCAGCCAGTAGAACCACACGCCCAGCGCGACGGTCAAGAGGCCCGTAAGAAGGAAGACGGTTTTCCATGGTGCAATGGCCGACCCAACCGTGCGAGACCCTACGGCAATGCCGTATGCGACCAACCCGCCGAAGATCTGAGCCCAGCCGTTGAAGGAGAACCAGATGTTGATGCGGGTTGCTTGTTCGTGTTTGGTGTACCACTGCAGCAGCTGTCAGCCCTGTACTCTACTCGCATATATCTGTTATCGAGTTGGTTAGGTACCTGGGAGGTTATGAGGGCAAAGCCGGGGGTGACAGCAGCCTCGAAGACACCGAGAAGGAACCGAATTGCAACGGCACCGGGGAAGTTATGCACAACAGCGAAGAGGGTGAGGATGAGGCCCCATGCGACGATACAGAAGGCAGAGTACTTGGCCAGGGGCAGTCGTTGCAGCAGGACAGAGGTAGGATATTCCCACGCCAGGTATCCTACGGCAGTCAGCTCTCACCCTATCAACACGTCATACATAACGGATATAATCTGGCTAGATGAACATACCGAAGTAGAACATGCTGCCGAGCCATTGGTAATTGTCCTTGACGAGATGGATATCCTTCTTCAACCCCATCACGCTGGCGTAGGATAGTGTCGTCTCTACGTGATACATCCATCATCCATCATCCATCAGCACCAGCAGCAAGACATGTGCCAACCACTCGGGGACAGTGACTTACTGTCAAGATAATTCAGCCCGTAAACAACACACATCATGGGCATAAGATGCCAGTCGATAATCTTAAGCAGCCGCTTGTTATCCTCGGCCGTCAATTCGATCGGACCCCCTTCTGCAAACGCCTTCATCGCCTCATCCGCATCATGGCTGACGACCTTCTGGCTCTTCTCATGACCCTTCTCAGCATCCTCGACTTCAACCCCGACTCGCTCCTCCCTGCTGGTCTGGCTCACGCTGACATGCTCCGTATGCTCTTCGGGTTTCTCGTCCATCTTGTCTCTCTGTACGAGTCTGTGTAGACAGAGCCCCGAGACAGACCTAGACGGCGCCGGCCGCTCTCTTTATGTATCTGGGACGCTGTCTCCTACTTCCCGGCACCCAGCAGGTTAAGCAGCCCGTTGAAATGGAGTTCTCCACCGACTTGTAGGAGGCAGACGGGCTAATTCCGGCCAGTCTCAGGCTGGTGGTCCGTAGACCAAACCACAAGATCAAGAGACGGCGAAGATAACTGCGTTAGTGACGGCCAACTAGACGTGGACACGACCTATCTCGCTACTCATCGTGTTTTCTACTCTTTGAGTCTTGAGGACAGATTGAATGGTGGGAATGCATGCTAGCTAATTACTTGTCTGTCCCACACGGAGAGACGTATGCTGAAAAATGCGATTTTGCGGAGAAAGCAGGGGGGTCCGCTCGCTTCGTCTTGTGCAACTGTTTGCTGGGATGCGATGACATGCTGGCTTACTTACCGGCCATGCCTCTTGTTCTCCGTCAAGGGTATCGTCAATCATATCGACTCATCCTCGGTAAACCCGATGATGGCGCGGGGAGGAGTCTTTTTTGACTCTTATCTCCCTGCTTTGTTCTTCCCGTGGGTGGTTGGGTTTAAAAGGGGGTGTTAATACGAGGGCTTCCCCGGATCTACCGTGTTAGCGTGCAACGAAACAAGAGGTCAGCATGGGGTTAGTTCCGCTGTTTACTTGTTTCTACGTTGCTTCGGTGATGTATTGACTAATACGAGGAAGCACTAACGGAGGAGGAATAATGTATTATTAAAATGTATATAGCAGGAAGAGCACTAGCTGCCTTCCTTTCCCTAAGGTAATATTTATTGTACTGTTATGTACTCAAAACGTCATCAGATACAATGTAGTCGTGACCGTCTCCGAGTTGGTAAAGGGTTTGTTTTTGTCCCCGCTGGATGCTTGGTCGAAAGGACTGAATGTAAGATGATGTTGGTTTTTTTTTCCTTTTTGGTCTTTGGAATGAACGAATAAGGAGACGATGCACGCAGAAAGCTCATGATGTTTGAAAAAGCAGCCCCATGAAGGTGAAAGTTGATGAAATATGTAAGGAAGCAGAATAAACGCCGTCACGCCGCGCCACGCCAGGGGAGAGCAAAGAGCCAATTCGGTGCCGGAAGGGAGGGATCTCATCTGTGTCGTGAAAGGGGGAGAGTTATCATGGAGAAGAGGGGTCTATCATTCTCTAGTGATCTATTGTCGTTGTCTTGTCGTTGGTTGTTCGTGTTAAAGATATGTACTCGTGTATGTGTTGGTAGTGAATTATGTACACCTGTGGGGGTCAAAGAAGGGAAAAGCGTCGTCTGGTAAGGTCGTTACAAGGACAGGTCGTTCCGAATCATGATATGATAGAGTCATTGGTCATGGAAGCATGAGGCGTCAAGCGTTGATGGAGGGACCCCCTTAATCTAGACCAGAGCCCAGGCGGCAATGGCACAGAAGGAGAGGAGCAGAGCATTGCTAACCGAGTGGATTGCACCAGTACTGCCGGGAGCCTGCATTGCCGGGTCCGTTGGAGATGCACCACCATTTGTAGGGTTGTTGCTGCCGCCGCCGTTGATTCCTGTAGGGACAGGAGAGCCTGGAGCGGAGCCAGGGAGAGAGCCGGTGCCGGTAGGAGCGCTTCCAGAACCAGTAGAGGTAGTAGTAGTCATGTCATGTCCGCCGTTACCAGAAGAAGCCGAAACCGAGGACGAGACAGATCGAGAAGACCGGGAGGTATAATCGGAGTGATGAGATGTTGATTCCTACAACTGGTTAGCCTGATGTGATCTCTTGCGAACAATAAAGGGGGTAAGAGAGTCTCACGACTTACAGCAGCCGAGGTCGGCGTTACGACTCCCCCAGTTCCAGTCTCGGTTACGATCCAGCTGCTGGGGAGCCCTACAAGGGAAGTCATCGTTGAGGAGGGTCCATTTGTCAGGGTATTGGAAGGAGGGGGTCCGGTGCTGGGGGCCTGGGATTCCCGATTCCGCCCCCTGGACGGTGGGAACGGGGGCATGGGCACTGGTGCTTGGGCTAGA